AGACTTTTGGGGGAGAGAGTATTTTTTGTGATAAATAATATGGTATTATGACCTCCATTTACCCTCAAAATAAATCTTCACCATAACTCACTGAAGCAGGCCTATAGATCTTGTGTGTGCTTTGTAGATATAATCTCTAATACTCATAGATCAGTATTCAAAATTCAAATTCAATTCAAATTAAAAAAGTTTATTGTCAATTTTCATATGAAACATATGAGGAAATGAAATTGTGTTCCTTATTATTATTACTATTATTATTATTAATAATAATATTATTATTATTAATATTATTATTATTATTGGAAAAGCCCAAGTGTTCTTCTTTGGGGAGATGCAGATTCCTGCTTCCTGGTGGTTACAGAGGGGAGAGAGTTCAGCATCCTAACAGCCTGGTGGATGAAGCTGTTAGTGAGTCTGGTGGTGCAGGAACAGAGGACAGGAGCCTCCCATAGCTCCCAGAGGGTGGGAGGCAAAACAGATTGTGTGCGAGGTGACTTGCATCAGTCACAGTTGTGATGGCTTTGCAGGTGAGCAGGTGGTGTGTGTGCCAGTGAGCAGGTGGTGCGTGTGAGGGCGAGGCAGGTGTTGTGTGCGGGTGAGGCGGGTGTTGTGTGCGGGCAAGGCGGGCCGTGTGTGAGGGTGAGGCGGATGTTGTGTGCGGGTGAGGCGGGTGTTGTGTGCGGGCAAGGCGGGCGGTGTGTGCGGGTGAGGCGGGTGTTGTGTGCGGGCGAGGCAGGCGGTGTGTGTGCGGGCGAGGCGGGCAGTGTGTGTGCGTGAGGCGGGCGATGTGTGTGCGTGAGGCGGGCAGTGTGTGTGCGGGTGAGGCGGGCGCTGTGTGTGCGGGCGAGGCAGGCGGTGCGTGTGTGGGCGAGGCGGGCGGTGTGTGCGCGTGAGGGGGGTGGTGTGTGTGCGGGCGAGGCAGGTGGTGTGTGTGCGTGAGGCGGGTGGTGTGTGTGTGTTAGGGGGGGGTGTGTGCGCGTGAGGGGGGCGGTGTGTGTGCGGGCGAGGCAGGTGGTGTGTGTGTGCGGGCGAGGTGGTGTGTGTGCGGGCGAGGCGGTGGTGTGTGTGCGGGCGAGGCGGGTGGTGTGTGTGGCGGGCGAGGCGGGTGGTGTGTGTGCGGGCGAGGCGGGTGGTGTGTGTGCGGGCGAGGCGGGTGGTGTGTGCAGCTTCTGCCTCACACAGTGATGCAGCTGGAAATGCTCTCAGTGGTTCCTCTGTAGATTGTGTTCATGATGGTGATGAGGCACTTGCCCACTTGAGTTTCTGTAGGATGTTGAAGTGCTGCTGGACTTTCTTCACCAGTGATGCAGTGTTGGTCCAGTAGAGCTCCTCACTGATGCTGCTCACTCTTTCCACAGCAGCACCATTGATGGACAGTTGCAGGTGTTGGGTGTGGCCTCTTTGGAAGTCGACAACCATCTCCTTAGTCTTCCTGACGTTCAGCTGGAGGGTGTTGTCTCTGCACCACATGGTCAGAGACTCACTACTCACTATTCACTACTTTTTCCAGTAGTGAGTCTCATTGCACTTGTTGATGAGATCCAACAGAGTTGTGTCATCTGCAAACTTCACAATGTTGTTGGTGCTGTAGGTTGTTGTGCAGTCATGTGTCAGCAGGGTGAAGAACAGAGGACTGAGCACGCAGCCTTGGGGAGGTCCTGTGCCCAGAGTGATGGTGCTTGAGGTGTTGTTGCCAACACATACTGCTTGAATATATAAATGGACATAGCTAACGCACTAGCAGTCGCGCTCCAAATAGGAAATTCACATTCGGCTCTTCCGGCTGCTATTGACTCTGGCTCTCCTTGACTTACATTGAAAGATTGTGGCCTCTCTCTCTCTGTGACTGCTGCTGTGAGCCTCGTCAGTTTGGTCTTAAAATCTTTGTATTAGCCCACTCTACATGACCCTGGTGTTTTGTTTTTGTTGTTTTTTAGGGTTTTTTTTTTCTTATTTTTTCGTCAAAAAAAAAAAGAAATCCTATTCATAGTATAGAGCCTGGTTCCAAATTGGCTCCTGTAACTGCTAGCATCGTGAGCTTCAATTGAGTGGAGCTGAAAGTCACAGTCGCTCAGTCCACTTTTTAAATCCTATGCTATCAACATTTAAGAAAATTTAATTTGACATTGAATTGAATGAATAAGACAGAGTGGTGGGCAGTGAAAACAGGAGCTGATTGGTAAAATGGTGTCTTGAAAATAAGCGATTAAAGATTGCTAAAAAATGCATGGATCATTCCACATAAAACTTCAGGTGAGTAAATGGTGAGAGGAAACAACTATAACATGGATAATAGAAAAAGAAAAGTCAATTTTACAGAATAGGTCTGCTTTAAACGCCGGGGTGCATTGGGAATGTTGCACACGAGTGGCAAAAGAACAGAGCAGAGAAGCCTCTAGTCCACACAGAGCTCTGATACACCATGACCCTGGGACAGAAAGGTACATACTAACAAGGTACACTCAGAGGCAGTTACATTTACTTGTTTGTTTGTTTTTGCTTGTTGTTACTTTTCAATTTACTTTTTAGCAGCTTACTTTTACTCCTTCGAAATATCAATAAAATATGCTCTTTCTGGTTCCTCTTCCCACTGTCAGTAAGTCTAAAGTGACAAAATTTTACGTGGCAAATGAAATGATTTGAACATTTGAGTCTCTAGTAGAGCTCCTTCAGTTATGATTTAGTCTCATGTTTATGTCTGTTTTTTGAAAATACCTGATTTTATGCATTCTTTTATGTTTTGACCTAAGATTAACATTAGTTTCAAATTATAAATCAGATGTTATGTTCCAACACAACTCTTCAAGTTGCTTTTTACATGAGTCTTATTTTCCCAGAATATGTTTTTGCTTTTAACTGAGTAATTTCTTGGACCACTACTATGTACTTCTACTTGAGCAATATTAATTTAAAGTAACATTACTCTTGAATACATATCACCCATATGCTTTTCTGTTTGTGTTTTGATTGGGTGACGTCTGATGTGGTGGCACATGTGACCTCCTTCTCTGTGCAAGCTCTTGCAGTATGAAATGACCCTGGGAAGGATTATGTCTGTAAGATGCTGCTCATCTGGTGTGTTTTCACTGCAATAAAGTCCGGAACTGATGTACATCTATGAGTTTTGTTAGTAATTTTCAAAATGTTTTTTGTGTGAGAAAAAATGGTGTTCATCGTGAAGAGAAGGGCAGAGCTGTCAACTGATCAACACCTGGTTGTGAGTTGGGTTCACTGGTGGAGGAGGAAGCCGACGGGCCAAGCGCGCTGAAGCCCGTGCGGTCGCAGAGGCAAAAACTCAGAGCTGGGAGGAGTTCGGTGAGACCATGGAGAAGGACTATAAGACGGTTTGCCAGAAGACATTCTGGCAAAGCGGGGGGGGGGGGGGGGATGTTGACCTCGACTGGGGACGCGTTGTCGGGCGTTGGAAGGAATACTTTGAGGATCTCTTCAATCCCACTGTCACATCTTCTGGGGAAGAAGCCGAGGCTGGGGACTTGAAGATGGACTCATCCATCACCCTGGCTGAAGTCACTGAGGTGGCTGGCAAGCTCCTTGGTGGCAAGGAGTATCTTAAGTTTCTGGATGTTGTGGGACTGTCTTGGCAGTGCCACTAGACTGGCAGACCAGGGTGGTGGTCCCTCTGTTTAAGAAGATAAGGTAAGGTCTATGCCAGGGTACTGGAGATGAGAATCCAGCTGATAGTCGAACCTCGGATCCAGGAGGAGCAGTGTGGTTTTCGTCCTGGCCGTGGAACACTGGACCAGCTCTACACTCTCCATAGGGTGCTCGAGGGTTCATGGGAGTTTGCCCAACCAGTCCACATGTGCTTTGTGGATCTGGAGAAGGCATTCGACCGTGTCCCTCGTGGTGTCCTGTGGGGGGTGCTCTGGGAGTATGGGGTCCGGGGCCCTTTGCTAAGGGCTGTCCGGCTAAGGTCTTGTATGACCGGAGCAGGAACTGTGTTCATTGCCAGCAGTAAGTCAGACCTGTTCCTGGTGCATGCTGGACTCCATCAGGGCTGCCCTTTGTCACCGGTTCTGTTCATTATATTTATGGACAGAATTTCTAGGTGCAGTCAGGGGCCAGAGGGGGTCTGGTTTGGGGCCCACAGGATCTCATCTCTCCTGTTCGCAGATGATGTTGTCCTCTTGGCTCCATCAAGCCAGGACCTGCAATGTGCACTGGGGCGGTTTGCAGTTGAGTGTGAAGTGGCTGAGATGAAGATCAGCTCTTCTAAATCCGAGGCCATGGTTCTCGACCGGAAAAAGGTGACTTGCCCTCTCCGGCTGGGTGGAGAGTCCCTGCCTTAAGTGGAGGAGTTCAAGTATCTCGGGGTCTTGTTCACGAGTGAGGGGAGGACGGAGCGTTAGATTGACAGGCAGATCGGTGCAGCTTCGGCAGTGATGCGGTCGCTGTATCGGACCGTTGTGGTGAAGAGGGAGCTGAGTCGAAAGGCGAAGCTCTCGATTTACCGGTCAGTCTTCATTTCTACTCTCACCTATGGTCATGAGCTCTGGGTAGTGACCGAAAGGACAAGATCGCGGATACAAGCGCTTGAAATGAGTTCCCTCCGCAGGGTGGCTGGGTGCTCCTTTAGAAATAGGATGAGAAACTCAGTCACACAGGAGGAGCTCAGAGTAGAGCCGCTGCTCCTCCACGTTGAGAGGAGTCAGTTGAGGTGGCTTGGGCATCTGTTCTTATGCCTCCTGGACGTCTCCCTCGGGAGGTCTCATTCTGAGTAACTGTATCCTGGTACAGTTAAATGTGTGTGGATGTGTGATTTTTCACCTCGAACTGTTCTGGTCTGGTTTGGTCTGGTTTGGTCTGGTCTGGTTTGGTTTGGTCTGGTCTGGTTTGGTTTGGTCTGGTTTGGTCTGGTTTGGTCTGGTCTGGTCTGGTTTGGTCTGGTTTGGTCTGGTTTAGTCTGGTTTGGTCTGGTATGATCTTGTTTGGTCTTGTTTGGTCTGGTTTGGTCTGATCTAGGACAGGGCTCTTACTATGGACTCGCTGCTGGGATCCTTGTAGTCCACGTCCATGTTCTTCTCCTCTCCAGGGACGGGCCAGTATGCGTCTGTGCGTCTCATGGTGGCGCCCTCCTGTGGCTGCTCACTGCCCGACTGCTCTCCAGACTCCGGTGTGGGAGAGGCGCCTGTGCACATAACAGAGCGAGTGTTTCAAATCCATTACAGTATCATTTACTGCACGCAGATATGGCACTACTCACTTACAAGTACATAAATGTGATCACTTGACTAACTTAATTCATTATATCGTACTTGACTTGTCTTTGTAGAAACTTTACTTACTTGCTAAGAATAATTCAGTAATGTGTTTGCTACAATAACAGTACTCTTACTCTAGGAAAGGTTGTGGTTCTTCTTCCCACTGTGTAAGTCTACAAGTGAAAAAAAAAAAGTATGTTGACAATAGATAGATAGATAGATAGATAGAGAGAGAGAGAGAGAGAGAGAGAGAGAGAGAGAGAGAGAGAGAGAGAGAGAGAGAGAGAGAGAGAGATGGACAGATGGACAGATAGATAAGATAAATACTTTGTTGGTGCCTGATAGGGGAAATTCAGGACATTTGACAATATGACATGATTTGAACATTTGTGTTTCTTGCATCAGTTCTTCAGATATGATTTTGTGGCCCCTCATTTGAAAGTACCACTGTCCTTTAAAACACAACTGTTTTGTCCTTCTAATTCCATTTAGCCAGGCTGGTGCCACCTGGTGCCTCCGCTCAATTTCATTTCTCTTCAGAGACTAGGTCAGGAATCAGAATACACTAGACAGTCTGCAAGAACCCCAGAAGGTGTAGACCACGCACCGGCCAATCAGCTGTGAGCTGTGAAGCCATGACGTCAAACTCGTTGCGCCTGTCTGGGTCCCTTTTGTGGAACAACACAACAGTAAACAAAGTGTCGAAATGGATGTAGATGAAGACAGACATTCTGTGATGTCAAGAATTCCAATGAATGTAAACTGCTAGAATATCCAATCGTCCATTTTCTTCTGCTTATCCAGTCTAAGCAGGGACTCCCAGCACCCCAGACACTTCCTCCAGTACTGTGTACTGCTAGAATAGAACTCTGAAAAGTTTTCTTTGAAAAGTTACTCAAGTAAATGTGACTGAGTAAATGTAATTGAGTACTACCCCCTTTGGGTCATGTTTTGTTGATCCATCGTTGCAGCCCTGCCTACATCCTGGTGAAAGTGTACGAACCTTATGACAGATGCATTTAACCTCAAAACAAATATTCCCTCTCTCTAAAACTTAGTTCGTTTTTACCTCTGTTGACTTTTAAAAACTCCATCCAGAGTATTTTACAGGATAATTGCACATGTTTTTAACACTTTTATATCTTTAATCTGCAAATGTTTTACTGTCTTATATCTCTATTTACAGTGTTTTCTGTTTGTGCTTTTGTTTTATTCTGCCTCTTGGCCAAGTCGTCATTGTAAATGAGAAAGTGTTATCAACTGACTTATCTGGTAAAATATTGAATAAATAAATAAAAAGTATGCAAACAGTCAAACAGCTCACAGACTTGCTCTTAGTTTGGAGAGAGGCTCTTGTCCTTGAGCTCTGAGCCTCAGCACAGTGCACCATTCTGGGCTCAAAGCTCCATCCCCCCTGGGCCCTTTTATCCATCAGCACGTTTCACACAAGAGCTGTATTAACCACAGACTTGCATAATTATTAACACTCCCTTTTTTTCCAGTGTAACATCAAACATGCTCGGAGAAGCAGCTCCGCTACTGTAGGATCAGCTCACACTGTGCACGTGATGCTGCTTCTTTTGGTATGACAAAAGAGTGTCATGTAGGATCAGAATGTGCACATTATACTCACCACACACAATATACTATTATACTCCCGTATGAAGGCTAAAGCCACTTTTCCCTACTCAATACACCAGGGATCCAAACTGTTGATTGGGAACTGATACGGAAATATAGGATAAAAATAATGACACTGTATTTAGTTTAATAGGAATTAGGAACAACTAGTAAACTAACACACACCTGATTATCAGACAATAAAACACTTTAGAATTAGATAGAAACAATTCAAATTTGTTACAGGAATTCCAGATGGGAGACATTATTTTGGAAGTCCTGGCCTGAAATGTTACACGTGTGTTGGAAATGCACGAACATTTCCAACATACCATGTGCGCATGTTCAAGATGGCTGCGCCCTGTGAGATGCTGGCAAAATCTAATCTACAAAACTAACAAATCTTACTAAATAAACCAGGAAAGTGAACTTTTGGATAAAGCACTGTTGGCGATGCCCCCGAAGAAAAACACGCAGATGGAGAACGACATTGAGGAGATTCGCAAGTCGCTAAATGCGATGACGGGGGAGATGGCCGCAATAACCCAACAGCTGACCAAACTAACAGACCTCGTTGAAGAGGTAAAACAATTGAAAGAAACCATCAGAGAAAAGGACAAAACGATCATGGAGAAGTGGATTGACGACTTGGAACAGTGCACGAGAAAGGAGGATGTCATTATCACCGGGCTAAACATTAAACCCCGCTCCTACGCCAGAGCCGCAGCGGTGGGCAGAAATGTTGGTGAGGATGCAGAGCCTGGCGATTTGCAAACTTTGGAGGGGCAAGTCGTGCAGTTTCTGAAAGAGAGGAATATTCACCTGGACGCGATCAACATACCCTACCGCGGAAGGACAAAAACAAAACCTGCCATCATCGTTCGCCTTTGTGACTAGGAAACACAAAATAGAACTACTACGCCAAGGAAAAAAGTTGAAAGGATCTGAAGTCTATTTGAATGAGCATCTAACCAAGAAAACGGCTGATATTGCTTGTGAAGCCCGAATCCTGAAGAAAAACAACAAGATCAAATCGACGTGGACAAGAAACTGTAAGGTTTTCATTCAACTTCACGGAGCCACTCCGGAACAAGCCAAAGTGATACTGGTAAGGGATCGCAAAGATCTTGATCAACTTAGATAAGGGAATTCTATTCGTCAATGACTTCTCTTAGTGCCTTAGAAATGGAATGGAATGCACAAATGGAACTGGATACTTTCGCATACAGTGACTATAACACCACAGACCCAGCTGCACAGATAGACCCTGATTCCAATTTTCTCTCTTCAGTTGTTAAAAACTGTACTTATATCACACAAGACCAATTTGAAAATAGTGTGAAAATTGAGGGTAAGCTGTCAATAATACATTTCAACAGTAGAAGTATGTATGCAAATTTCAACTTTATCAGATATTATTTGCAACATTTTACACAACCCTTTAGTATTATAGCAATTACTGAAACTTGGTTCAGTGATGATAAAGGCATAAACTTTGAACTTGATGATTATGAATTAATATATAAGAACAGAGAAAATAAAACGGGGGGAGAAGTTGCTTTTTATATTCATAATTCTATCAACTTTATGGTCTTATCAAATATGTCGCTTGCAATAAATGAAACTATGGAATGTTTAACAGTTTAAATCCAAAATGGGAAAAAGGAAAATATAATTGTAAGCTGTGTTTATCGATCACCTGCTTCAGATATTGAAATCTTTAATGAATGGATGGAGAAACTGTTTTTCTACTGTGAACCACAAAACATTATTTATCTGTGGAGATTTTAATATTGACCTACTAAATCCAGCCAAACTAAAAATAATAGATGACTTCTCTGACACAATGTTTAGTATGTCTCTTTATCCCACGATCACTAAACCAAGTAGAATAACCTCACACAGTGCTACAATTATTGATAACATCTTTACCAACTTTATGAATCAATTAACCAGTGGCCTCTTTATATGTGATATTTCTGACCATTTACCTGTCTTCATTGTTTTTGACTATGATCTCCAAAAAATCAAGAAGGGAAAGAAATCAATTTATAAAAGAATAAAAACTGAAGAAGCTATTAATTCCCTGAACAAGTCTAATACATCAGGATTGGAGCACAATGAGAAACCGACGTGGACCAAGCATATAATAACTTTTTAGATACATTCTTGTCATTGTATAATAAACATTGCCCAGTCATAGAACTATGTGTAAATAGCAAATGTACAAACAGCCCTTGGCTGACTAAAGGAATAATTAATGCTTGTAAAAAGAAAAATAATCTGTATAAAAAATTCATAAAGTCAAAAACAAAAGAAGCTGAGCAAAGATATAAGAAGTATAAAAACAAGTTAACAGACATAATTAGAGTGAGCAAGCAATTATACTATAAGAAAATATTATATGAAAATAGAAACAATATAAAAGGAACATGGGAAACACTGAATAGATTAATCAAATGGGGATCTACAAAGTTAACCTATCCTGACTACTTCATTGACAAAAATGATGAAATTCAAAATGCAAATGATGTAGTAAATCAGTTCAATATTTTTTTTGTAAATGTTGGCCCAGAGTTGGCAACAAAAATTCCAGATCAGGTAACTTTACAATGTCACCAAAATGTTAAAAGAAATCCAAATTCTATCTTCATATATGCAACAAATGTACAGGAGGTCACAAACATTGTTCTCAAATGTAAAAGTAAACTATCCAAGGATTGTCATGATATAGACATGGTACTAGTTAAAAAAGTAATAAATAACATTGTTAAGCCCTTTACCCACATCTGCAACTTATCCTTTCAGTCTGGGCATTTCCCAAATAAAATGAAAATTGCTAAAGTAATACCAATATTCAAGAGTGAGAACAAACATAGTTTTACAAACTACAGGCCAATTTCCCTACTGCCACAGTTTTCAAAAATTCTTGAAAAACTCTTCCAACTCACGTCTCGAAAAGTTTATTGACAAATACCAAATAATTAACAAAGGACAATACGGGTTTAGGACGCAAAGAACCACCTCAATGGCAATAATTGATGCAACAGAGGGAATCACAAATGCACTAGATGACAATAAATATGCTGCTGGTATTTTTATTGACCTTAAGAAAGCCTTTGATACGATCAATCACTCAATATTACTACATAAACTCGAACAATATGGTATTAGGGGGGTAGCTTTGAGCTGGTTGAAAAGTTATCTTACAGAAAGGGTCCAATATGTTCAAATGGGAAAGCATACATCAAAAAACCTTGGCATTGCTTGTGGTGTTCCCCAGGGGTCTGTTCTGGGACCCAAACTG